TACAAATTAAATATTAACAATATACAACAGCGTATGATACAACAGTAGTTCCTTTTTTGTTTTAACTCTTGGCACATGAAGTAGTAATTTGCAAACGTGTTTGTGTGAAAGGTCTATTTTCAAACACTCCACTGGATAAATATTAAATATTTATATGTAAACATATATATATATATTGAGTGTGTGTGTGTGTATCATAAAAGTTTAATAGTGGATGTCTTTCAAAGTTTATTGTGTCTGAAGAAGTTTGTATGAACATGAAATTATGTCTGAATAGACTTTTCATGCTTTATTTGAAAGAGTAATGGCGCCAGACTCATCATAACTAGTTTACCATGAGATTTCTGCCAGCCAGAATTTGGTAGTCTTGGTTGTTTACGTTCTTTACATTTTATTAAAAGAAAAGGAATTCAAATTCTCATCCTACACTATATTAGTAAATGAGATATAATGTATGATATAATTTTCTCCAATACATCCACAATCTAATCGTACGAAACAAATTTAAGATGAATTTTACTTTTCTGATAATTTGTTTCAAGTATCTTTTTAGTGTAGTGAAAAATAATTACAGATTTCAAGTGCTCTTTATTTTCGGCCATAATCTTTCTATAATGGATGTAGTGTGTATGTCAGTATCTATGTATGTAACTAAAACTCCTTTGCCATCTACTGAATGGCACCACAAATATAAATCCATAAAAAAATTTCACTATTTGAGTAGACAAGATTCTTTAATTGTCTGAATCTTGCACATACCACAGTTATTTTTTCTAATTGTCTGAGTTATCAACTATTCACTTAACCCTACATTGCTAATTTACCAACAGCTCATGGTGAAGAAGAATAAATAATAGATAAAATATAGAGGGCTACTGGAAAAAAACTGTAGATGTGCATTCTGGAGGTTCTAGAAGTTACTCAAATGCAATATGGTAACTGTATGATGAACATAAGCACTTCAATACTGTACGGGAAAAGTGTTCGGATTGTGCTTTTTAGTCATACGCAACTTGTTGTGTCCAAATTATTCAACGTACAGTGTTCAAACTCTTCATGAATTTTACTGATATAAACTGTAATGTTTTTATAGATATTAAAAATGGTGCGTTTATTGGAAAAATAATAGTTTTTTTTTAAGAACTCCAGTTTTTCATTACTGCATTTACAAATTGCATTAATAAAGATATAATCAAACTCTCACAAACAGTCCTAGTAAAAGTTGTGTGCATATTGTTAGGAAAGGACTTTTACTTACAATTGTGTTCTATTATAAAGAAATGGTTGTTGCACATACCACAGTTATGTTTTTAATTGTCTGAATCTTGCACATACCACAGTTATTTTTTCTAATTGTCTGAATTGACACCAAATAAATAGCACCACAGTGAATGACACTCTGTAAAAGGTCATGGTATGTACACTTTTGACCACCACACGTACACATAGGATTAATTAGGTTTCCCAGCATTCCTAATTAGAAATTTGCACTGACTAAATTAAAATGTGATGTTTATGTTATCCACATCTGTCAGAACAGATTACTGTATATTAGAGATAATTGTATCCTCTTGTGAATGGAGAATTGTTATATTACTGATAGTTTTGAAAAATAATTCTTTCATTATCAATGTTTTTAACAAGCAGTTTCTGACTTAACCGTAGACCATCAGCTAAACCACTCTCCGTTTATGATTTTGTTGCATGTCCCACACAATTGTCAGGATACAGCGTATCTTATCACAACTCGAATAATGTAGGGGAATTCTAAAAGAGTGAAGTACTTATGAAGATACCGTGACTTTTAAAGATTAGTGGAAGTGATTTTTTCACTGAATATTGGCTTCTGGCCATCATTTGTTCTAATGCAGTTTCACTGAAACACATTGTTTTACTTTAGTTCCTAACTCTACAAACATCAGAAGCATCAATTTTGAAGCTGACCTGCAAGTGGAAGGTCACAAAATACTTGGAATGTTACCAGTCTAGTAGGTTGAAATACCTGTGACTCAAAGTAAGCTGTAAAAAGTCACAAAATACTTGGAATGTTACCAGTCTAGTAGGTTGAAATACCTGTGACTCAAAGTAAGCTGCAAAAAGTTACAAAATACTCAGAATGTTACCAGTCTAGTAGGTTGAAATACCTGTGACTCAAAGTTAGCTGCAAAAAGTTACAAAATACTCGGAATGTTACCAGTCTAGTAGGTTGAAATACCTGTGATTCAAAGTAAGCTGTAAAAGTCACAAAATACTTGGAATGTTACCAGTCTAGTAGGTTGAAATACCTGTGACTCAAAGTTAGCTGCAAAAAGTCACAAAATACTCGGAATGTTACCAGTCTAGTAGGTTGAAATACCTGTTACTCAAAGTAAGCTGTAAAAAGTCACAAAATACTCGGAATGTTACCAGTCTAGTAGGTTGAAATACCTGTGACTCAAAGTAAGCTGTAAAAAGTCACAAAATACTTGGAATATTACCAGTCTAGTAAGTTGAAATACCTGTGACTCAAAAAAGTAAGCTGTAAAAAGTTGCAAAATACTTGGAATGTTACCAGTCTAGTAAGTTGAAATACCTGTGACTCAAAAAAGTAAGCTGTAAAAAGTCACAAAATACTTGGAATGTTACCAGTCTAGTAAGTTGAAATACTTGTGACTCAAAAAAGTAAGCTGTAAAAAGTCACAAA